GCCTCAATGGCGCTAGACGATAACGTCGGTTCGTTTAAGGAGGATACGGCTTCTTGGGTTGGCTCCTCGGTGATAACTTTCACAAGAGAAGGATACTCAAAAATAGCTTGTTTTGCCTTCCAAACGTTCAATTCCTCCGCAACCACAACCGCAATCGGTAAAAACAGCAAAATAAGGACCATGGTGGCGCTGCCACAGTATTCTCCCTGAGTGAAAGTCACCTTATTCTCCACAATGATTATAATCATCAAGAACGCCGCCAGACCGAGAGAAATGTAAAGGAACTTGTAAAACACCTTCAACTCGTTGGAGTGAGGGGTCACCTTCATGATCCGGATGGTTCGAATAAAAACCAACGATATCGCGGCCGGAAGCCAGCCTATCAGCAGAATCAATCCCTTGGAATCATCCCCGTAAATAGCTTGGTACAATTGTGTTATTATCGCGGCACTGAGGCCGAGATAACCCTTGAGAATACCCAAAATAACGCCGCGACTCTGCGGAAAATTCTTTACGTTCGTCACTAAACTTACGGTGTCGGGGAACGTCTGAGAATTAGAACCGATGAAAACGTAAAGACACATTTGCCAGACAGCTGGTCGAGCGATTCTTTTCGTAACGGCTAGCCATATCATGAAGTAGCCAAAGAAGTTTGACACGACACCAAGGAAGAGAACGAACGAAAGAGGGGTTACCTCGGCTATTAATCCGGCAAGGACGCCAGTATTGAGGTCCTTGAAGAAACTGAGAAGGTTGAGGGTGGACTGGTCGTACCCTAGGGAGTTCTTGATGTCGCCGGAGTAGAGACTGAACATGTGACTGGCACCGGCAGCGGATGAAGTGAGGAGTGAGCCGAAGAAGATGAACCATGGACTAGTGATAATTTGAATGGCAAAAGATTTGATGTTGGGAAGACTGCTGGCGCCGCCGCCTCGACGATCAGGTACAGCCATTTTTATGAAGTTTAAACAAGTTTGTTTGGTATGGAGACTTTGGCTCAATAGGAATGTAACACAGTTTAGTACATATAAGCAGAGAAATTAAGGGATAAAATAAACATTGAAAAGAAATCAATAAGAAAGGGAAAATATGCTTTGTTTGATTATTTAAAAGTAGATGCTTCTCATTAAGGTTTTAAAAATATGGTTCAAGTTCAAGATACACCATAGATGCTGATTCAGGCAAAATCTTTTGTCCAAAAAAAAAAAGGCGAAAAGTCTA